CCACTACGCACCAAGGCGCACCACTACGCACCAAGGCGCACCACTACGCACCAAGGCGCACCACTACGCACCAAGGCGCACCACTACGCACCAAGGCACCACTACGCACCAAGGCGCACCACTACGCACCACTACGCACCACTACGCACCACTACGCACCAATTCATAGTATACTAATTGATATATTTAATCATAATCATATTAGTACTAATTGATATATTTAATCATAATCATATGATCCTAAATAAATCAGGATTTAGCAAGCATGCATGCTTGAGTATGCCGAAAAGGTTAAATCACCACCCCGCAATTTAAGATTGATATTAGCCACAGTAGAATACGCAATTTAAGATTGATATTAGCCACAGTAGAATAAAATAATTTTTGAGTACACAAATAAAAAGATCGCAGATGAGATTAATCAACATCATCTTTCCAAAAAAATGTCAGAAACATCAGATTTATCCTTACCATCCATTATTTCCGCTACCCCATCTATTCCATTACACCCGTCAACAACACGATCGATAACTAATTTCTTCAATGAACGTGCGTTAGCGAGAGTCATCGTTGACTTTCAAGAGTCACGATACTCAAGCATTCAATTAGTAGCAGAAGGGGACGATATCTTTATAGAGTTTAATGGGAGTAGACGGCAGGTCATTATTGGGGACAGTATTATTTTTGGTAGTAAGATAGAGATGCGGGATAATACGAGGTTGAAACTCGAAGAAGAGATACGGGTATTGTTGGAATTTCTGGAAGTCAAACAAAAAAAAATACAAGAGCTTCTACCGCTAATCAATAACGACTCAGGGACTTCCCCCGATACCTCACCTTCGTCATCAGGAACAGCAACTCCGACAACAACAAGCTCTTACTCGATAGTCCGCAATAGTCAATTGCCCATCCAATGGAAGTTGGGCGAGAAGATGCAGTTATTGGAGCTGGCACGATTGGCCCAGGCGCCAACACAATCATACATTACACCAGTAGTAAGTAATGTTCGGCAAGCGGCAATTCTATATCAGCGTGCACGGAATGCACTAAGGTCACGAAACTTGCCGATGCAAGATAAATACGTCGCCGCCGCTGACGCCCATGCGGCAAGCTTATTCGCGGAGAGCGGCAGCTATTCTCTAGAACAACAAGTACATGATTTAAGCTTTGATATAGCCAAACCGATGACATGGAAATCAGTATCGAAAAGGAAGGCGCAATTCGCGAAAGTCAATCAAGTCTTGGGGCTATGCGGGCGTGAATTACCACCAAATTTACTATCAGTATCATTGTGGTTAAAGCCACAGGGAGCGGCGCGGGATGCGCTTACATATTTAATCGATTCCGCTAAAGGAGCGGAGATACCGGATTCTTCGAGTGTAGAGTCCACCAGACGTCGTCGTTTTCAAAGAATTTGATTTTTTTTGTTTTTTTTTTTTGTCTTTTTCTTTGTTCTATTACTATGCTTTATGGATTGACTAGTTGGATGTCAGTCTTTAAGTATCAGTCCACACATGTCAATTCATCTGTTGTCTAATCTGCTGTATGTGTACCGGCGGATTTGTATTAGGATTAGAAAGATTAATAATGTTTTTAACTGGCAAGAGAATATTCGAGACGTAATTCCTTTTCCTTTTCCATGGTGTAAATAATGTTATCTCTTGTATTAGTTAGTATGTTCAGCAATGTGGATACTCTATCCATTGTAGATATGCATCATATACATTCGTATTCCATAATAAATGAATCCAGTGACTTGTTGCCCGTGATCCAATCAAAAGGTCTTGGTGCCAATGTATTAGTATACGCAGTCATGGTCGCAAAGTTTATCGCAATTTTTAGATTGCAGTCTTCTAAAGAGGTACACTCCCGTGGCAAAAGTCACTGACCACCCCCTATATTTGCAATTAAATAAAAATATTGGCATAACGAGCAATGCAATCACCGCAAAATTACTGAATTTAGCGCACCTTCTAGATAGTATACACACAAAAAATTGCAATATGTTAGATAGGTAAATTATGAATTTAGCTAAGCCGAGTCTTTTATTCTACGAAAAAACGTAAAATTAGGTTACGCAACACAAATGTTCAAAAAATCGTTAAAAATTAAACATTAATTTACACTCAGTTACATTCATTTAAAAGTATAAAAAAAGCGCTGTCGTATTATAAAATATTGCCCAAATATCTTGATTCTTTTGTTGAGAAATTGGATTTTGAATCTAGGATACTATTCGATAGTCGCCGACACCCCTTAAATTTGCAGTTAAATGCAATATTGACATGACAAGCAATGCAATTACCGTGAAACCAAAATACTGAGGTTAGCGCATCGGATCTACAACACATTTACAAAAAATTGTAGTGTCAGTTAGTAATACAGCAGAGTAAGGTTAAAAATAATTTCTATGCTGCATAATCAGACAAAATTTCGGCCATAAAAATCATATTTTTAATTTTTCGGCCTTGAAAAATTCGTCGAATCACATTTCTAATTTTCGGCCGTGTGTACAGTTTGGTCTATTTTTAATCATTGCCAAATTTGGCTCTAAAATAATAACGCTCATTTGTGAGTAGCGTCGTACCGATTGTCATTTACGGCCGAATGCAATAACCGTATTCAATATAAATTAGCTGGAGGTTTAAGCTTCTTCCAACCGTCTCAAAACAAAATCACATACTCAGTGTTATTAAAATCTTGATTAAATTCTCATTACCGCTGATAATAATAATATAAACCCCAAACGTTCACAATGGAAAATCAAATCGAAACACCTGAATATAATTTAGAAACCACAGATGATTGCATGTCTGATGATGATCATAACACCTACGAATTTGATCTGTGCCCCATTCCTAATTTCGAAAACAATGATGACGAGAGTGACGAGGAATACGATGATAATGAAGAGGTTGGGGATAACAATGCAAATCAGAATGACGAAGAATATACGATTGATCCATCAGAGTCACACATTCAGAGAAACATGTTATCAACGTGCGTAATTATGTCTAACGATAATGGAGTTATGCGGCGTTGTGGAAATTTCGACGAGAAAAGTCAGCGGCAGATTTCGAACCTTATAGGCGCCTGGGAAGTTGACAGACAGGCAATTGAAGATATAAATAATAAAGAGCAGTTGGGAATATGCCAAGCCCACTTTATGTTTGATTATCGTACTTTACACCCGGTCGGATTGAAACAGGAAAAAAAGCATACTAAAGGCAAGATTACTGGCCATCGTTGTCTTTTTTGTAAAAAATATTATCGTGTATATCTTCGCGGGAATGAATGTACAGCACATTGCTGGTCCATATTGGAGAAAATGACACTTATTCCATGCATAGGTCAACACGAATGTCCAGCCATTGAGAGCATTTCAACCCTTGTACAAAAAATTACGGCACAACAGACAAACTCTCAACGATGGCAGTACATATGTAATAGCTGTTACGAATCTCAAGGTGGACATTTATATCAACAGCCAGGATCAGGAAATAAAAATAAAAAAGCTACTTGTGTTGCAAAAAAGAAGCACGACAACGATAAATCTGAAACGCTTAAAATTCTTGGAACTTGGCTGTGTAATG